TACCCTATACCGCAGTTAGCACGCCTAGCGCATGCTCTGGGAATGGCTAGTAATGCCACAAGGGCTCAGTAATGCCCCTGCCACGTTCAACAGATGTGACACACATCTGTTGAGACCAGTACGAGAATTCGCGCCGAGTTATTTCGATGACGTATTCATCCATAGTCGAGCTATGGATGGAAAGTCGGACGTTGAGGTTCACAGGTACCACGTCCGACAGGTTCTTACAATCATGCGAAAGCATCAATTGTATGCAAACCTCAAGAAGTGTATATTTGCAGCAAGCGTAATACCACTTCTTGGGTGCATCGTTGGTAAGAACGGTGTACGTCCTGATCCCGAAAAGATCAAGGCGATCACCGACTGGCCTGTGCCACTTGATGTCACAGGTCTTCGAAAATTCCTTGGGCTAGCGGCGTATTTGCATAAGTATTCACGCAATTACGCCGAGATGACTGTACACCTCTTTCGTTTGTTGAAAAAGAACGAGAGGTGTTATGGAACACTGAATGTCAGCGCTCCTTTGATGGTATCAAGCAGAGCTTGATACAATCTCCAGTCCTAGCAATAGCCGATCAGGACAGGCCATTTCATGTTGTCTGTGATGCCAGAGATTTCTCAATTGGCTGTGCATTAATGCAGTACGATCTTGAAGGCGTTGAACGCGTCGTCTGCTATCAGTCGCGTCAGCTGCAACCAGCTGAGCGGAACTATCCAGTGCATGACAAGGAACTCCTTGCCATGAAGTATGCACTCGCGAAGTTCAGAGTCTTTCTATTAGGAGATAGACCCTTCGTTGTTTACACTGACCATGCGTCATTACGCACGGCAGTGAACAGCCCGCACCTTTCACAACGAATGGTGCGGCGGTTGTCATTCTTTGCGGAATACAACTTTACGGTTGAGTACAAACCAGGACGACTTAATGTCGTCGCTGATGCACTATCACGTCGTCCCGACTTTGAACCAGTCGCGAAACCCAACAGTGAGACGGTCACAGTTGCGGTTATGACGTCCTCAGTCCCATCTTCAACGTTGCATGATGATGTGAGGCGGGCGTATGCCCAAGATGGTGAGATAGTGAAGTTGTTGACACATCTCCCACAACCATCTCGAGAATCGTTGAAACGATTATCGTCTGCGTATCGATCTGCATCAGATCGATACGCTACTTGCAACGGGTTACTGTATTATACAGCCGTTTCCGGTGACACACCACGTGTTGTCATTCCAGATGATACTGATCTGCGTTTGCGGATCATGTTCGAGTATCACGGTGCTCCTATAGGAGGACATCGTGGCCGAGAGAAAACATATCTCACGGTAAGTCGAGACTTTTACTGGCCCCGCCAGTATCAGTTTGTGCGAAAGTATGTTCGCGCATGCGAAGTCTGTCAACGAGTGAAGTCAAGTCCTTCACTGCGTGCATCTTTACAGCCTCTACCAGTTCCGGCTGAGTGCTGGGAATCCATCTCAATGGATTTTGGCTTCGGGTTACCCAAAGACGCACGCGGGAATACGGGTATTCTCGTATTTGTTGACAGATTCAGCAAAATGGTACACCTTGTGGCTGTACCAGAGTCAATCACGGCAAGTGGCTGTGCTTGTGTCTTTATCGACACCATCTTCCGACTTCATGGGATGCCCCGTGAACTCGTATCAGACAGAGATCCACGATACACTGATGATTTCTGGCGTTCCGTGTTCAAATCACTCGGAACGTGCTTGAAGATGTCTACATCTGATCATTTAGAGTCAGATGGTCGGACGGAACGAGCTAATCGTGTCCTCGACGAGATACTTCGAGGATACGTACACTCCTTTATGAGTTGGAGTGAGTTTTTGCCAATGGTAGAGTTTGCCATCAACAACTCGGTGCATGCGTCCACGACACATACACCATTTTACGTGAATGGCTTACGCCATCCGCGTGTACCCACCTTACTAGAGTGTAACTCTGGTTTAAGGGGGGGGAGGGACTCGCGCGAGCAAAAAACGATTTTGTTCACGCTCATCACGCTCTGACGAAGAGGTCATTGCGTTTGATGCCGATATCGATAACATCGACATCGAAGGAGATGATGCCAGTGAGAGTGCGGAAGCCCTCACTGAAGAAAAGATTGATGTTGCTGCAGTGCACTCACAGCGCACTGAAGCTAACGAGTCATCAGATGATTTCATACTGGCTCGTGAAACGGTAGTCCGTTTTGTGCAAGACTCCATCGCCGAAGCGGTGGATAAGCAAAAGCAAAACGCTGACAAGAATGGAAGGGCAAACACTCTTTTATTTAGTAAAGGTGACTTAGTCCTACTGTCTACGGTTAATCTACCAAAGCATGTAGTGACTAACTTGGGTAGCAGTAAACTACTACCCAAGTACATCGGCCCATTTCGTGTATTGCACCGCCTGGGCAATGCATACACGATCGAGTTACTACGTAAGATGCGAACGCATCCCACGTTTTACGTTGGTCGGCTTAAGCCGTGCCATCAGTACGCTGCTTCTTCCGATGAAGAACGCCCTTGCGCTCAAGCTTCTCGCAGAGAGCCTTGTGCTCCCGATGGTGGATATCTGCAAGGGTCTGAAGAGCAGTTATCTCAGCCGAGACCGATCAACATTTCCACGAGCCACCCTTAGCTCGTCACGCAGAGACGTCAGAGCTCTCTCGTTCTCAAGCTGAGCAAAGGCAAACTTAGCTCGATGCTTCAAGACAGTGTCCGCCAGTTGGAGACGCCTGTCCCGCTCATGTTCGAGATCGCCGCGTAACCCTTGCGTTACGCGATCAAAGAATCTCTCGGGGACACACGAATCCCCATGATCGTGTGGAGAGCGTCTTTCCTCCTCTTCCACCTCCGTTACAGGACTCTCGCGGTGGCCAGCGCTATCTAGTTGAGCAGCTGTTGAACCACCGCGACGTGAACGGACGTCGGACGAGTTATATCGTCCGGTGGCGCGGCTATCCCCCGTCCTAAGATACTTGGGAGCCCCGCTCCCAACTGATGATCGACGTACTGGGTCTGGTTGAGCAGTACGACGCGACACATCCTGTGCCGCAGAAGGACCGCCGGAGAAAGTCTTCCCGGCACGGTCATAAAGGGATTTCAGGCTGTCAATCCCTTCGTACATCTCACTAGAGATACGTACGCGCCACCACGGGCTGGTAAGGAGGTAAGCATCCTTAGGTGCTCGTGCAGAGTTGTTCACACAACGTGGGCATGAGTCTCCCCAGGAGAGACAGGTTAACCCTTTCTCCCTTGACAGACGATGCAGCTTGTAGCGTGCACCTGTCGGGGTTCCCTTTTCAAACTTATCACGACCTTTGATAAGTTTGTCGTTCCAAACGTCACGACCTACATCCGCAAGGTTATGGATGCAGGCGTTCCACGCTTGAAGCAGTGAGGGACCATCACGTTTGTGATTCCCACTGTACCATCGATGTCAAAAGAAAGCATCGATGAAGAATTCATGTTCAGCGCGATGGTTTTTCGCGCTGGGGTCAAGGTGATGGATCCTTGACGAATCGAACAACCGTGTTCGATAACGATCACTCGTCGTCGCCGACAAGTGATCTATGACGGATTTTGGAGGCATCCATGCCTTCTTTTCTGGAGCGAGACGCAACACACTGCGGTCCCGCTTTTCTTGGGACGTGCCAACAGAAAGACTGGCACCTCGTTGCGAAGTGGTGCACAATGGTGCGCGTGCCCGGATCTTTTGGTGACTCGGGATTTCTCCGTGAGTCCCGAGATGAAGATGTTAAGATCAAGACTGAATCTGGGATTGGAGCGTCAGCGGAAGTTGGAACGCCACAGACACGTGAAGAGAAAGGGTCCCAAGATCATCATAGTTTTGGGAGGGGCTATGATGGCAAGAAAGTCAAAGAGGAAGATCACCAAGCTGATCTGGAAGAAAAAACTCAACCGCCTCCTGAGGTCCCTTCATGGACCACCGCGGATCGTGCTTTACAGCACGATCTGCCAGATGGAAATTCTTCAGTAAAAACTGAAAGATCTTCATCTAAAACTACCGCCCAACCAAAGGCGAGAAAACACACTCGTAAGTTGGCCTGGTCAAAGACGAAGACGGCAGAGCCACATCGAAACAAGCAAGAGATCAAGGCAGAAGGTCAGGATGTGGAATAAGAAAGCTGGCAATTGGAACAGATCACCTGGGAAATTCATTGGCAACAACTGAAGAAACATCTTGCAGAAGACCCAGACCTAAAGGTGCTGAAACCTAAGCTGATCGGGTCGACCCAAGGTCCAGTATCGCCACCGAAAGTGACCTCGAATCAGTTCGAGGCATAGCATCGGCTTATTCAGCTGTTAAGAGACGCTGGATTTACAGCTGGAGCTTTGGTCACACAAACGCTCTTAGAATTTAATCACGATCGGGTGATCAAAGCACGACAGCTTTTATTCGAAAAGCTAACTCCACTGACAGGGTCTCACAACCCTATGAGCCAATGGATCAAGAGTGAAGAAGGACATCTGAGCCAGCGAATCAAGAGTGAAGAAGGACACCTGAGACAAGAGAGAGAGAGTCAACCAACCGCAACGTGAAAGAGGAATACACGGGGTCGTCACGCTATGCCTCGGCATAATCAGATATGGACTCAGACGAGTCGTTTGGGATGCAGCGGATGTCGCTGGGACCGACAGGGGCAGCAATGCTTAAAAAACAGGCTCGACCCGGCTAACAATGGAATACGATCGACTCAAATTCCGGCTTCACAGAATGCAAACACGGTGGAGACAAGCCAGTTGCAAACACATTCCAAGGCCGCCATGGACAAATTCATTCGCGATCGCGAAGAACAATATCTAACTACCCGATCGTCTCAGACGTCGAAATGGATTCAGTAGACTCATACCGCGATCGGCCGGGAGAACATGAGTCAGAACGCAGGGGACCATATGATCTAAGACGACCACAAGTGGCAACTGCAGGAACCGCCCCTACGGGAGGTTTCAGCGCACAGAGGATTAGATTGTCGGTGATGGCCGATCTGAAAGAATTTACAGGACGTGATCAAGACGCAGATCGTGCTAGAGGTTGGTTTAACAAGATGAAGACTGCCTTTCTACGCGATCAGGCTCCAGACCACGAGAAATGTCTGGTATTTGGAGAACTGCTCACAGGACCTGCCCGAAGTTGGTACAGCCAGTTGAGCCGATCGACCCGCAATTATTGGAAGTCGTTGTCGGAAGGCTTCAGGGTCCGATATGGAGGATATGGAATGTCAGCTGAAAGGCAATACTACCACGCGCGGAAGAGACCGAATGAAACCCCGTTGGAATACTTGGACCGGTTGAATGTAGCAGGAATGCGAGCAAAAGTGGCGTTCAGAGATGGATCGCCAGCAAGCCGACGTGAGCATGTAGAACACTTCATTGACACTTTGGATGATCGAGAGTTGGCGAAGCAACTGACCTTATTGCTAGTGCATGATGCTAACACGATGAAAGAAACTCTACGCGCTTATCAGCGCATGAGTTTTCGACAGAATAAGGATCCGAATGACTCGAACAAGTACCGATCGAGATCGGCTACAACGCCAGCCCAAGTATATTCGAATACACCACGGATGGTGAAGGCCATTCGTGCAGAAAGTGAGGAAAGCGACTCAGGCTCAAGTTCGGACGATGCAGATGAAGAATAGTTTCGCTGTAAGGTTTGTGTGACGACTATCACTGATCAGACTGCAGACCCAGGGGATCAACGAGACAGATCGCGAAGGACAGACCAAGATGATGATCGCGATCGGGGAGGTGTTGCGAAAGCCTACACACACTGCGGCTCGAAAATACATGACGATCGCGGATGCTGGAAAAGATTGACCTGTCAGAAGTGAGGCCGAAAGGGCACCCATCGGACAAATGTCTACATGTGTGTTCCGCTTGTGGGGAAGTTCACGAGAGCGGCCAATGTCCCATGGAAGAGTTTTACAACCTGATCCGCAAGTGGTACGTCCCAACCAATCACGCAGGACTACTACTGACCAAGGCAGAAAAGGTTTTAAACTAAGACGCTCGCCAGGTTGGAATCTGGCACGAGCCGATCGTTCTAGGCTATGCATATATGCATTTGTGGAGCAGGGCAGGATCAATCAAGAAAGTAACAATCGTATCGACCCGACCGCTAATACATGTGATTGGAACACCATCGGTTGTGTGGTATTTCAAGTGTAAAAAAGGTGGATGAACATTTACGATCTCCCGTTAAGATGGAACTCGATCTAGCGCCGGGGGAATCGAGAGGATATTGGAAATATCTCACGCCAGAAGAATAGTTAAAATAGGCTAAAGCGGTGGGTAAAATCAATAACGAGAAGGCTACCATGCTATTCGATTCTGGAGCCGAAGTCTCAATCATAGACGCCACCTTTGCTCGTAAGGTGGGATGTGTGATTGATGACAGCCAGAGACAGGAATTTGTGGTAATCGGGGAGAATGCCTACATGACGGAAGGAAGCACTAAAATCAAGATCACATTAAACGGAACGCTGGTGTATTACTTTGACGTTTGGGTGGGCGATCAAGTGGGCCAAGAAGCGATTTTAGGTTTGGACTTTATGGTGCCAGCGGGAATACGGTTAGATTTGGCGGACGGTACGCTTTGTTTGCCAGATGAGGTGAAAAATCACTTGGCAGGGCGCAGGCCTCCGTATGGGGTAAACGTGCAACCGATCGTTATCCCAGACCAACATATAGTAATTCCTTCTGGAGAATCCACGGAGATGAGGATTGGAGCAGGTTTCCCTAAGTCCAAACTATGGGTGAGACGGGATAAAAAAATGGGTGCCGACGGTGAATACTGGACCGGGACAGATCAAGTACTTGATACTGACCAACATCGTCGATCAGCAGGTGATTCTCAATCACGAGATCCCTTTAGGTGGGTGGATGATGACAGACGTGATACCCCGATTGCCGGGCTATGTATCAGTTGGATCACGCCAGTATAATGAACGGTAGACTCTAGCGTTTGAAGCTACAACGGAATCAACCAAGAAACACCCGATCGTGTATTCGAGGCACTTAGTGAATCACCCGTCCTACCCCATCCCAAAGAAGATTCTGGCCCACAGAGATAAACAAGGAAGGAATACGGAGGGAAGCCGATCAGATCTGCTAGCTCCACAAGCAAAGATGAAGAATGTCGCAGAACGCCAGATCGTGAAAGAGGATCGCCGCGACAGCGACGAGCAGCGATCACTCGAGGCACATGCCGTGGTCAATACCGTAGTGAAGGCATAAGAGGGCTATCGGTCACAGGAACACTCGGACGACGTAATCAGACAAGCACAAAAGATCGCAATCGGCGATGATCACCCGGTCGGAGACGGTCAAGAGCTCGAATTGTCAGATCAAAAGATACAGAATGCTACAGTACTGAATCGCGAGGCCCAGCATCCGATGAATCGTCATCATCCGAGCTAGCTGGAGCAGGCGTCAGATTGCGCGCTCTGCCTTTGCCTTTTCGAACGCCAGGTCTGGGAAGAACGGGAGTCTTGGGCGTAAGTTTTGCTTGAGATCGTGTGGAACTGTAAGGTGATCGGGAAGGGTTGTTCTTCGGGGATTTGCACGGTGGAGAAGGCTCGGCGACGATACCGGACGCAGTCGGAGAATGAGTATTGGGTGTCACCTTGACGACCGACTGCGAGGTAGCCTCGATTCTGGCTCTCTTGGTCCGCGGAGGAGGAGTTAGAGCGGAAGTACTAGGGCGTTTGACACGAGCACTCGTAGATGGGGCCGTCTCAACTGGACGGGACGAAGAAGGTAAACTGGGGCCGGTAACGAGCGCGGCAATGCTCGTTCGAAGGACGTCGCGATCGCGCAACGCCTGATCGCGCTCTAGCTCCAAAAACATCCATTATTGTTTCTCATCAAATGTTTGAGAATCCCATGCATTGTAGCCAAAAAAAATCATCTGAGAACAGAGTCATTAGACTTCACTCCAATGACGCTGCAGAGACAGGATCACCCGAAGTAGCTGACGAAAAATGGTCTGATGCTTTTATGACTCAGTCTGCAGCATTCGCTGCTGCAGACACACAAGTTGATGCACCGCGCGAAATCGAAGATTATGAGCTCGAGCTTATATGCTCTGGCGAGACTGACGGTGAGACCGACTCGAGGCAAAGGAAAGCCAAGTATTATCCAAATTTGGATAGACCACAGACGACTTAACTGGCTTCATGAAGCGTTTTAAGTCTCGCAAAGCGTCGTGGCATCTTCGCATAGTCCGACAAGTCAGAAATTTTGTCTCCGAGACGGAGTCATTCGGCCTAGAGTGAAAAAGGAGGTGAATTAGGCTACCGAAAAGGTCCTGAAGGTATAGCACTCATGCATCAAAGCCCGGGTGATCGGAACGCTGCTGGTGTCGGTAAATTTATCTGACACCAGGCAGCAGACTGTAGATAGCAACATCTTGCGCGTTGATCCTCAAAAAAATCCATAGCTACCTACATATAAAGAGTTGACACGTCCGTCTGACACGACGAGTATTAATCATCGAATAAGATTATTCTATTCACTAAAGCTTTACATGCTTGATCCTAGTGTGGATAACCTTCGCACTGAACAAGCTTTCTCCGTCGATTTGTTCTTTAAACATCAATGGCACAACTATAATCACAAGCGTGATTTTCCCTGATCAATTTAGGCACAAAAAACTTCGATCCACAATGTTTATGAGATCGAGCGTGATTACTGTTGAAAAATGTTGAAACTCGCTCATGCATGTTTTAATAGGCGGACCATTACCAGGTCACGTTTCAAACTGCATCATTTATCAAGAGATACGAGGCTATTATGCCTCTCCTGTAGTGTTACGTGCCAAAGCTTTGTTAAGACTTGTCAAGATCTCCAAAGGAAGTCTCCTCGATGGAGGAACCCCGGTCTAGGGTCCGTTTTACTCAAGGGTTGTACGAGGGAACAACTAAATATATAATTCCTCTACAAACGCGCCGGGAAATCGTTCCCCGATGGTCCTTCTTTAGAATCGGATGCGCCATTTCATTCTGCTCGCCAAGCCCCGAAACATCAGCCAACATTTTAATTTGATTCCTTTATGCATCCACAGATGGTGGATACCCGCGCCACCGGACGAAATAATTCGTCCGACTTCCCTTCACATCTCGTTGGTTCAACAAGCGTTCCATAAGAAAGTGTTGATCACAATTGCATGAAACAATGGATGAGATGGTGAAGGAAACACATTCTTAAAAGGACTAGCAGGTCCATTCAGATACTGTGAGTCAGCTCAAGGGTGTTACGTGCAAGTTGCGCGAGGGCCTCAAACATGAAAGGTGCAGGCTTTTTAGTGTGGTCAACGAGGTGAAACTTATCTTCTTGGAGCGAGAGAGAAATCGATCAGATTTTTTTGCCTATTATGATATAGAGTAGGATCATCGTTCAACCACGCAGAGATAGTAGGAGCTCGACAGAATATACCTGGGCTTCGCAGGGAGATTTATAAATTTCAAACGCGGGCTGATAGTCAGCACCGCGAGCACGAGTATCTTTTAAATATGCGTAAAAAGGAATTTCTTCACCGATAAGTCACGTACTTGTAATAGGGCCTAAGGCAACCGAAGTAGATCATAGGATGCCTGCGCATCTTACTTGCAAACTAAGTTGTGTACGTGTGGCCTAAGGGGCGCAGCACACGAGGTGGACCAATAAAATTCTGCAGTAATTTGTTCTTTGGTAAAGTGGGGTTCGCTTTTTATATGAGGCAAAACCGACTCTTCACTGGCGTCCAGACAAACGACTAACGGAGGGGGTACTCCGATTCCGCTCGCACTTGTTTCCTCATCACCTTGATTACCCGGTGGTAGGGCGGGTTGCACTCTTCCAGGTGGACTTGACTCGATGCTGAACTTGACCTTTTTAGAGATTAGTATCAATTGGGCGGAAGTTTTTCACCCTTGCTTATTCTTGGTTGGCGCTTCCCTAGATTGCCGCGATCAGCCTTGATCGCCTTGTGCCAAAAATGGTTACTCATGTCGCGAGCCTTCTGACCACTTGAGCCGTTTCGCGATCTTGTACTTCAACCAATAAGGTTTTCTGCGTCCGATTGCAGTTGAGGGGTGTTGAAAGTCCTTGCACTCCTGGTCATAAGGTTTAGGAGTGATAATTCCGTCCTTGGTGTCGAAGTTCTCCAACGTCGGGAGGCCAAAATGATGAACCCGGAAGAAGAACGACACGCGTGAGTTTAGTAGCAAATGAAAAATATTGAATCTCAACCAACCAATACCCAACACTATAACCACGTCAACTCCGTATGTCGGGATTGACGCCACGTGTCTCCTCCTTGCCGAATTAATTTGCAATCCTTCTATATCATGTGGCCCACACCAGATCGAAGTCTTTTGATCCCGTTCCTCCGATCTTTTTACAGTCTGTTACCGTGCAGACTAGATGGTATTAAGCCCGTTGGGTTCCCCAACGATTAAATCCAAATAAATAGCTATCATTCCACGAGCGATTCCGCCGATACCACCTCGTACTTAGCCGAATTGCCTAGGCTTTTGGACTCGATCGACTTAACTACACTTTTACCCACGCTAGCCACTTTCTATCGAGTTAAGTTTACCGAATATATTAGACAAGGTCACTTGAAATTAATAAAAGAACATTTGCTCTTCCATTCCTAATATGGTTTTTCTGTTGGTTGACCGCTTTTGCAATGTATCCTTGCTTATTGCAAAAAGACCGCTCGTTGCCTCTGCATGTGCTTGGACGCACTGGGCTGGATGCTGTTTTGATCAGTATCGTGGGGGGGGGGTAAAGCTTACATGCGCTACCGTTTATCTTCTTCACCGAAGTCGATGTGATAGACACCGGCGTCATACGTAGTGACATCGTATTCAGTGCGTGATGAGTAAGAGCCGATTTGGCGTTCGCTCGAATAATTCCCTACCCCCGTAAGCTAGAGTTTTACTTTGAATATGTTGTTAGGCGTGAATAGCGCAAGAAATCCACGGAGTACGGTGTAAAAGTCGTCGATACATTCACCGAGTTGTTGATGGCGAATTATGTCATGTGCAAGAACTTGATTCGATTCGTTATTGAATAGGCGTATTCCGAAGAAAAGTTCCTAAGAACAAGATTAGCTAGTTCTGTACAAACTTCTGATTCCGGTCGGTCTTATGTTAACATATGAAGACACGTCCCGAGTATTTGAGCACCGATCACCAGATTGCAGCCTTGATTCGTGAGTTTTGGTCGGAGCCGAGTTTAGGGGGCGACCCATGATGACAATAGATCGTGTCGATGAAGACACGTGCACAGGCATATGCATTAATAGTTTCAGGTACAGCGACCAGGTGTGACATTTAACGGATTCAATCAACGAAAACAAGCATAACGTTGTTCTTGGGCGGGTCTGCGAGAAACCTACGTACAAAGAACATTGAGAAAGATTGCCAGCATTCTTCCAGAAAGAGCAAGGTTTACAATAGCGCACGATGTAACGGGGCACCCTGAAGCTTGTACTGGTGACAGTACAAGCTACTTATTCTGATAACAGAATAAGGCGGTGCCTCGTAACTTCACGTACACTCGTACGTGCAGAGGAAGACGGTAAGAAGAAGCGAGTACTCGGTTAGAGTAAAAAGTAGAACTGTATTTATAATAGTTAATGTCTGCAATAAATCACTATTTATCTTCATCTAACTATGTCTAAATACAAATGTGTAAATCAGTTATCTGCTCACCACTCATTGCGTGCGTCTGTCGTGGCGCGTCTTCGTTGGTTGATATAATGGCCTATATCAACCAATTAGGAACTACTTGGAAGTGCCACAGAATATTGTCCTTATGACAATATTCTGAGAATATAACTCTTATAGTTATATTCTATTAACAATTTCTTATAAATTGTTATGTAACGATTCACCCCGTTACATCACCCCCCCCTTAACCATCAGTCACTTTAGTGACTGATTGACTAAATGGATACTCGTCCCAAATCATTTGGGACGGGGTTTGCACTTGTTGGTCCGCGTCCACTTTCCAACATCTCATCGCATGGTAAACAAGCCCATGCGATGCGCGAGCAAGGCCGCCGAGAGCGCGTCTGCACGTCTCTGTGCGGACGCCGAAGCAGAAACTAAAGCAACTGATATCCCATCGGTTGCTGAATCGACTCAGCCTGTATCACCTGGTGATGCAGGTGCTGGTCATGAAGACACTCGTGTCTTCACAGAGTACGAGCTCGGTGTCTCGTACTCTCCTGATACGGATGACGGATCCGTATCGACGGCAATTGAATCCAAGCCGCCTGCCAAGCGTGGCATGGACGATGCTTTGCGTCGCAGCATCTTTGGTTCATCTGACTCATCAGATGAACCATCGCCGAAGCGAAGGCGCTCGAGGTCGCGAGACTCGGGCGCTAATAGTGGTGTCGTTTCTCCAATGGACACCACTTCACAGCGAGGTGCCAGTACTTCTGTCGGCACGTCGCAGGAAGAGCGGGACCGCAATGTGTTGCGTCTCGCTCCAGAAAAGAAGGCATGGATGCCTCCTAAATCTGTCATGGATCACTTGTCGGCGACGACGAGTGATCGTTATCGAACACGATTGTTCGATTCGTCAAGGATTCATCACCTTGACCCCAGCGCGAAAGACTATCGCGCTGAACATGAGTTCTTCATCGATGCTTTCTTCAGACATCGATGGTACAGTGGGAATCACAAACGTGATGGTCCCTCACTACTTCAGGCGTGGAACGCCTACATCCATAATCTCGAGGATGTAGGTCGTGACGCTTGGAACGACAAACTTATCAAAGCTCGTGATAAGTTTGAAAAGCGAACCCCGACAGGTGCACGCTACAAGCTGCATCGTCTGTCAAGGGAGAAA